ATAATCCATAATAACGCTTCCTCCAGTGAAAAAGTGCATCTGCTGCTGTCTCTCGCATCAAAATCCAGCCACATATTTGTTTAGAGCCGTTTAAACGCTGCTTGATCTGTGCAGATTTCTCTCCTGATTCACACCAGAACACTTTTTCACTGGAGGAAGTGTTATTATGGATTATGAACTCGTATTTCTTGATGGATGTGTTTCAGCTTTTGTCTTCTCCAGATGTTAACTGATGGACTGGAGTGCTGTGGATTACTTGTGGATTATTGTGATGTTTTTATCAGCTGTTTGGACTCTCATTCTGACGGCACCCATTCACTGCAGAGCATCCATTGCTGAGACACTGATGCAATGCTACATTTCTCCAGATCTCATCTATATCTTGGATGAGCTAAGGGAGAGGACATTTTCAGCAATTTTACATATATGGTTTTATTAAACGTATAGCAATTGTAGTCCAAAAAAGTAGACAAGTAGGTTAAGAATGCATCCTTAAAACCCTTTTTTGAGAACAGGATGTAGTTTCAGTAGCATTTATACAGTAGCTGCCTCCCTGTACACTAGTAAACTATCAATTCAGGTTTACAGATCTGGTTTTGTAGTTCTCACCTTGTCTACATTGGCGCGGGTTTTAGCAGACGTCTCCACGTAGCACACGCCCCACTGATCCGCTCTGGCTTTGGCCTCGTCTGCGCTCACCTGTCTCCTGTCCTCCAGATCCGACTTATTCCCCACCAGCAGGAAGGGGACGTTCTCGTCTTCCTTCACCCGCAGAATCTGCTCTCTGAGTGAGAGAGTATCGTTAAGTAGGGGAGTAACGGTACACGTATTCGTACCGGAAATGTTCGGTACAGGTCTTTCAGTTCGGTACACATGTGTGCCAAACAAATCATTCAATTATTTCAGGAAATTCAGACAATAAATGCCGTTTTGGCGCTCTCTGATGAGGCACGACAGATCGCCGTATACTAACGGCAGCGCGATCATTCCTTCCTCTTTATTACTAGTTTTAACGTGAAATAAACTTGAATGAACATCTCACCCCTCACATAATTGCTTAGTGTTTTTAAAACAGCTTGTAAACAAAATATCACGTAGCATTTCATTTACCTCATCAGTTCACCAGAGAAATAAAGTCTATAGAGAAGAGCATTTCGCAAAATATTAGACTATATACTCATTATATTTTATTTTACCTGTTGTGATGTCTTAATTAATGTATATGTTTAAATAAATAATTTATGAAGCAAGTTATGACTCTGTAAATTATTATATTTCAACAACAAATAGAAATTGTATAATTTAGAAGTGAATTTAAAAACTATTTAGATGTTTGCATACAATTTTATTAATTTGAGTGTTGATTATTATAGTTAAAAATAAATAGTAATTTAATTTAAGTTTGTCTGTTGTTAATCGTAACCTTATAGATTATTATCCTTAAGAAAATTAATTATATATATATATATATATATATAATTAATTAAAACATGATCACCTTGTGGAGAGCCAGCGAGTTCTGGCCTTTGGGCTTGGCTGCTGCCATGGTAACGGTTGCTAAGGGGCAGGACCGAGAGGAGTCGGGTCGGGTCGGGTCGGGGAGGCTGTGGAGATGCTGGAGGTCACTGAAGTGAGGGGTCAGTGTGTTCCAGAGAAGATCATGCACTGCGCGTGTGTACCTGGACCAGATGAAGACAGAAGGTTCACATCTCTTTCTGTAATATTTTACTCGTTGCTTAGCCAAAGTTATCACTGCTTTTCACTTAAAACGACTTGCTTATGTTCTCCTGACGAGCCTAACGCTTTCAGAGTCAAGCGATTTAAGGCATTAACAGTGAGAGATGAACTCTCTGTGCATCTGCTCAAGCATTTCTGTGACATCTGGGTTATTGTTAACTAACACTAGAACTAATAAATATTGATTTTGTTCGTTTACTAATTAGTAAAACGGAAATATAATAAATAAAATATTATAAAACAGAGATATAAAAAATGTCAAAATCACATAACAAAATTACTAAAACTTAAACTAAAATGAAAATTAGAAATGTTTCCTAAATAAAATAAGTTGAAGGTTAACTACTAATTACTAAAACTGAAATAAAAGGAATATAAATATATATGTTTTTTTTTAAAACAGAAATAATATATAAACTAGGAGAAGAAAAAAATACACAGTACACATTACAAAATTACTAAAACTTAAATTAAAATTAGAAATAATACCTTGGCAACGTACTCAAATAAAATAAGCTAAAGAAGCCAAAGTACTAATATTATGAAACATAAATGTTGATATTTTTTAAAACAGAAATATATATATATATATATATATTAAAAAAATACTACAAAAATGACAAAAGCACGCAACAAAATGACTAAAACAAACTAAAAATAAATAAATACTGAAAATATAAGTAATAAAGGCTAATAATTCAAAATATTAGCATATGCTATAATAGTATGTAAATAATACTAAAATAATAACACCTCAACATGCATCACAGCAAAACAAACTGCTCCTCAAATGACAGCCAGTAACATCAGTTAGATGCGTTTGTGTTATTTTACAGTTCGAGAAGCATTAGTTCTACAAAGAATAGAAAGAGACGACTCCCAGCCGAAGCAAATCCATAACATTAGTGGTGATCTAAAGCTGACTGGAGTAAAGGATTGAATGATTTATAACAAGTGGTGCTATATGAGTCTGTGTGTACATTAGTACATATGAGCATATTATATATGTGTGTGTGTGTGTGTGTGTGTGTGTGTGTG